TGCATAATCTTCCTGATTTCACTAATTTATGGTGCATTTTCCTGAGGGGTCTGACACAAGTGGAAGCTTCATATTAAGTCTGACAATCTGTAGGTGTTGATGATCTTGTTGATGTTCTTGATTTGTTAAAGAGATGTGGGTTTCCTAAAGCAAATTGGTACGAGCTTGGACTGAGACTAGGACTAAGGAAGAGTACACTTGACGTCATAGAAAAGAATCATCCTCATGATGTATGTCGTTGTATGACAGAGTGCCGCTCCCAATGGTTGGGTAGAGCTGATAATGTTGACAGTAGAGGAGGAGCCAACTTGGACTCACTGTCAGATGCTCTACGATCTATGAATGAAACTGCTATAGCTGAAAAGCTAAGTGAGTCAACCATAACTGTATGTAACTATAATCATTGTATTTTCTATCATAGAACATTATGTTCTTATTAATATTTTTAATAATCATCATACTGTCCTGTCTCAGTCTCTTTGTGATTCTGTTGGTATTGCTGGGTTACTTTATGGTGAACGTATGTTACCACAAGAAGCAGTTAGTAGAGTGGTGTCAGCTAGTTCCTCTATTCCTAATCAACGTGAGGCTCTATTAACTGGTGTCAAAGAAGCTGTTCAAACTGATTCCAACAGTTTACATACATTTGCTAATGTATTGTGTACAATAAATACTAATGTATCACTAGGACAAGCTATACTGGATGATATTAGTGAGTAATCTCTGGTCACTTTAATTATATTCATAATTCATAGTTTTTGTGGGTGGGTTAGTTATTGGGCAAAGCCCACTGATGTGACATTTGATGTGTCGTAATTGAAACTACATGTACATTCACATGTATGCTGTTCAGTATATCCTTTGCTAATGACAATTGTTTGTTTATTATGTGTTTAGGTAAGTATTTTCCTACTCCTGAAGTGGCTGTGGTTCCTGAGACTATTAAAGATGATCATAATGTAGTTTCTCTAAGTAATTATAATTATTAATAGATGATATGCATTCATTAATATTTATAGATAATGCAAGTACTGATAAAACCAAGACACCAAATAATTCACAATCTGGTACATTTGTATGTCGTTGTACATGAGATTGTTGTACTTTTAATTTATAGACACATCTTCTGATGCAAAAGTTGCCTCTTCCCAATCCCAAGCTTTATCACCTCAAGGTATATAAAACAATTTACAATGCATGTACTACTGAAGTAATAATATCTTTTTTAGTTAAAATACATGTTCCTGTTCCTAAAGACTTACTGACAAACTTTAACTCAATGAGAATGTCTTATGGAAGGATGTTTTACAATGTTGGCAAGATCATTAAGCGAAAATCTCCTCCTTTAGAAGAAATAAAAGAATTACTGTCTTGTTGTGGCACTATTCTTAGACAAAAAGCAGAGCAATGTACTAATATTCCTAATGTCTTGCGTCTAATTCAAAATGAGTGTTCACTGACTGATATTGAACTCCTTCATACTGTAGCGGAAGAAATGGAGATCACTGAAGCTACAAGATACATTGAGGCATATAGAACAGATTTAAAGGAATTCTGCAATTTACTCTCCATCAGTCTTTGTTTAAAGGAAAGATTTGCTTCAATTCCTCATCTTCAATGTGAAACAGTTACTTTTATCTTTGATTGGGAGCCATGCAGAGGAGCACGTACTGAAGGATATTAAGGATATACTATCAAAAGTATCAGGTAAACTGCTGAAGATTGAGTATATAGAAACCTCCACTTCAATATCTGTCACTTGCTCCTTTCCTTTCTCTGATGTTGGGTTTACTGTATTGAGGATGATAGAGAATATTCATATACTAATGGGACAAGGATTAAAGAAACTGACTATTGGTAACTTAACATTATGGAGGAGACAAGATGTTAGACAAAAGGTACATACATGTACATTTGCACATTAATAGTTGACTACATTGTACAGGAACTAAAAGAAAAGGATCGAGATTCATTACAACATACAGATGTCAGTGTACATTTTAAAATCATAATTATGCCCATGCAATTTAAGACATTTTTGGACTCGCCACGCTTGCGTAGGCGGGTACTAAGCAGTTGGGTTGTCACATAGATACTATATATACCAAGTGGATGCGAAACAGGAAGTAGATTGTACATGAAATTATATTGGTGACGTCACAACCAGTATGCCTATGCTCTTTTCGCTCTAGC